CTCTCTCTCTCTCTCTCTCTCTCTCTCTCTCTCTCTCTCTCTCTCTCTCTCTCTCTCTCTCTCCCCCTCTCTCTCTCTCTCTTCTCATACATCCACTCAGGGCAGTGTTTTTCAATCAGATTAGTACAGCACATTCTGTTCTGTTTCACTTCCTGATGACGGTGCAGCCTCTATCCCTGAATGAACTCAGCCGCGTGCTTCTGGTTACACCGAGACACTCACTCAGACRGACGTTTTCTCGCAACCGCCTGTCAGATATGAGTGCCCCTGTACAAAAATTTGACAAATGTGTTGGACAAAATTACAGGAGGGGGGCTTGATTTTTTATTGGGCAATTCTTTCTAAAAATGGCACCTTTTTAAATAAAAATGCGCTGAGCAGGTGGGCATTGATGATACTTTTATGACTTTTACATCTTTGTGCTGCTCTATGTGAATAAATCCAGTTTATCTAAACGAAACAGGCGCGCGCACACACACACAAAAAAGCTGATTTAATCTTGAACGTTGTTCTTTTAAATTTCTCATTTCCTTCCTTGCTTTTACCAGAACAGAAACAAGATGCTTACATTGTTTCAGGAAGAAAAACAACATGTGTTTTTATAGAAATGTATTCATGCAATACAGCAGGTCAGTAAAGTTCATTATACCCATCCCCCCCCCCCCCCCTCCTAAACACTAATGTCAAAGGAGGTGCTAAAAAAACAAAAAGCTATGGAACACAGATCAGTTTTACTGTGAATTATTATTTCTGAGAACTGCAGAGGGTTGATGATGCATAACGAGGTCGTGGTTGTTGTTTTTTTTCTGTCTAGATCACAGTGCCACATTTAGGTCTGTTTACTTTTTAACATGAAATAAATACTCGACATATCCTGTTGRTGAAACCTGCTTTCTTCTGAGAACCATATGTTCAGAGGATTACTCAGCTGGTTGACAACATCCCTGCGTGTCGTTTCCAAATCAGGTTCACTTCAGCCACCTTTATAATTAACAGGATCATCATGTTCCCCCCCTTCCATWGCTGCCTGTCAGCAGAGTGGTGGGACAGCATCTGACCGCGTGGGCTCCCCACCCTCCAGAAACCCTCCAGTGACCCGTCTGAGGATCACAGCTCAAGCGTTACAGATCAAATCAGAGCTTTCTGTCTCGCATGAACAAGACGAGTCAGCTTGTTGACAGAGAAGCACTCGCAACGATGGAAACCATTTTTTTTTTTTTAGGAGAACATGTTAATGAACAAAATGTGCTGTACATCAACATAAAAGCAGTCGTAAATATAAAATAAAACTTGCGCACTGACGTGCCAGCGTGAGTAGAGGAAGCAACAGACAAACGACGATGCCAGAAGAGTCTTTATTACTCTAGTGGGAATTTTAATTGCTTTACGAGTACCGAGTTTATCAGAGATTCTCAGAGAAGCGAAAAAGAAAAGAAAAATCCTCTCCGTCTACTGAAACACAATGCAGGAGCAGATGAATGATGGGACTTATTGAGAACAATAACTCATCCATATGCAGAGGATGAATTTTAAGGATTCACGTGGGAAAGTCTGCTGCATAAATACAAAACTTTGGACAATTAGGGGTAATTTTATTAGGGGTCTGTGGGAAAACTATTCACCACATGTCTTTTATTTGAATTAGTACCTGACAGTTTATTTCAGGTTGGTCAGCCCACATGGATTAAAACYAGGTTTTCTGCAGAAATACAAAATCACACTATTGAAACAAACATGGAGAATGGGAAGTATCTGACATTAAACTATAGTGTAATTTAGCTTTTTTTACTACATTGCTTTTCCCTGAAAATCCCCAAATCTTTCAGCTTTCGTCTGTTTGTGAAAAAGGTTAATACTTATACTTTTAATGTTAGATTCAGACTCATTTTCTAACAGATGTCAATGCGAACATAACGCGTCTAACAGAGTGATACAGGAAGAACTTCAACATTTACTAAAGTTGCACTTTTTATAAAACCTTTTGCACATTTTCCTCAACTACATTTCAGAGAAACCAGCAAACATGCTTTCTTTTATGTAAGTAAGTAAGTAAGTAAGTAAGTAAGTAAGTAAGTAAGTAAGTAAGTAAGTAAGTAAGTAAGTAAGTAAGT